CGTTTTCTGAGCCGGCTGATGTAATTGCGGAGCATTCATTGTCATTCTGAACACCTTCAGCGTTAGACTTCAATACAAGATTAAATTATTCGAATGAATGATATAATCGTATTTTCAGACAGCCTGCATCGTGATTGGTTGTTAAATCGCACCAATATTGATCGTTTTTATTGACCTGGAATTTAACTTTTTGTCGTGGGGCTAATTCTTTTGTAATAGTTAGATTTTATCTATGGTAATGTGTTTCTAGATTTCCCCGTATACACACACAGCAAATTCTTAATCACAACAACAATGATTGAAAAACACAGAAAAGAAATTATGTGCAGACAACATTATTCAAAAGATCTAAAATACATTGCAGCACTCAAATCTCCAGGAAAATGGAAAAGAAACATTTATTAACTATCTTCCAGGAAAGCGTATCTCAACAATTTCACCAGAAAATGTCTGTACTCGAATCAAACTACAGGCGAAATAACGACACAAAATGTACTCTTTAACACTGATGCATACAGTCTACTACGGACACAAATATGACTGGTAAAATGTAGAAGTTTCAAATAGTGAAAACACCAAAACCTCCAAGGAATTTCTAGAAGCCTGATACTCAGAAAAATCAGAGATTTATGGACAGATTACTGTAAATCAAATTTACCATCTAGAAAAAAATAAGCTCTATGACTAAAACGCTGAATTCGTGAACAACAAAAACGATCAGGACTGATGCGAATTAACAACCAATCACTATACGGGTTGTCTGGAAATACAATTATATCATTCAGGGAGAACTGGAATAATGTAATTTCATTCAGATTTGATTAAACTGTGTCAAAATATGCATTCATTTATGTGTGATATATAAATCGAAGTTTTTTTTACATCAGAAGTGAGAATGCACTTTGTGTGTATTCGCAGTATTTGATCACCTGGCAATCTGACGATGTTGTAACCAGAACAAATTACAGTGGAACAACAAAGTAACTTCTTACAAATTGACCAATTATCGAATAACACAATGAAGTGAGGAGTTTAAAAACCAACAAAAAATACACTTAGTCAAAATGTGCTTCACTCACTACTAATTTTAAGAATTAGTTTTTGGCGTTTGTTTCTTTTATACAAATTTGTGAAAAATAATAAAATAAATAAAACAAGTTTGTGTTTGCTTTGCGTCAACTGAACTTTGTAAAAGTTACCAGCTTTGAAAATCAAAAAAAATATAATATATGTTGATTGTATGTTTGAATCGTTTGAATTTTTTTCGAAAGATGAGGGGTAAAATAAACTTCGTTTTGTTTTAGGATGCTTTGAACAGACAAGAGCTAGAGTTATGTTTGTATTAAATGTTGATTGTCAAATTTATTGTTATGCTTTGGATATTTACAGTTTTTGGGGAGATCAGGAGAAATTTTCAACATTTATTTATACTACTTTTCTGCGGTAATATGAAGTAGGTGTTTGGAGTTTGGAATGACAGTGCATATTCATATTCGCTTTAGGTCTCACTATATATTCACAAAAAATGCTCATTCAGACATTGATTTCTTGTAAAGTATGTCCTATGGACAGCTTAATTTGAAAATCAAGATGCCCTCTTTTAAAGATGGACGGTTTCATACTAGTTTTTTTATTTACTTCACGTTCCCAGTGGAACATAGGGCTTCAAGCTATTGGCTTGAAGTTTCTGTAGCAGTGTTTATTTTTTACAGGAAGCGGTTGCCGGCCTCATGCCCAAACTTTCCTCTTTACCAGTCTTATTACTGGTTTAGCGAGGTAAAAAAGTGCGTCGGCCTGGGATCGAACCTCAGACCATGTGCATGGTCGGCGAGCGTCTTAATCGCTATGCCACCGACGCACCTCATACCAGTATAAACACTCAAAATAGACTGAAACAATCCTAGTGAAATTTAACATTTAAATGTTAAACTCAGTGGTTCACAGGCTGTGAAGCATCTCTAGGAAAAAGAAGTCTAACCTGAACGGAACGTCTAGTGAATATCCCGTGATGTAGCTTGATCCCACGAATAGCGAAGGTCATTAATTGGCTATATTCTGAAAATAACTCCTTATCTGATGACAAGCTCTTCAAATGTGTACAATGGCATAGTAATATTCAACTCTAAGAGCACCGACTACTACACGAAATAATTCAGTTTGTTCTTGATAACGTCGAAGGTGAAAACTGGGAGTAAATTTACCAGTTTTTATCTAATCTAATAGCTACCTCATGCATTTAAGTATCTTTTCATCGATGCATCCCTCATTGTAATGAGAAGGCGTTCAATTACTACTACTGACAAGCTATAAGAACATACAAAACAGTAAGTTTTTGTTTAGAAGTCCACAAATTAATTAAATGGAGCAGAGAGAAATAATACATCAATGATAAAGTTGATCAGTCAACATGTATTCGAAAAATTAGCCTTTACCGCACCACTGGTTTATGAAATTATCCTAGGCCAAGATAATTAAAATTTGGTGTAGGAACGTACGTTTTGAATAATTCATGAATATGAGGTGCTTTACAAAGTGCTGAAGCTAAAATAAATAGTTCGACATTTAGAAAAATTAACAGTGTAATCGTTTAAGAAACACCTTGGCTGGAATTTGATTAGGAAGTCAACCAATACTTCATCGATTACTGGATGCGATATAATAATATTAGATTTACTAACACCGGCGATGAAGATAGTTTCAGCAAACTTATAAATGTTGTGGTAAAAGAATGAGGAGGTAATCAATCAAATAAGAGACACAAGGATACATGAAGCCTGTCAAACAACATGGTGAATTCAGGTGTATGAAACAGGGTGAAACTTATATCGATATCTTTGGTTGAGAGATATGATACACGTCTCTGGTTAATTTAAATCCTAAAGGCTTAGACTGAACTATAGTTTGAATTGCTTAAGGACGTGAACTATGTGCTTTGTGCCAATATTTAAAGAAATACTTAAATTTGTCATCCGTAGTTTACTCGCTTTCCTGTAGGCAGCTTAAAAGTGCACCTGACAAGGTCACCAGTTTTAGGTGTCAGTCAAGTATCATTAATATCAACAGGATTTTCCTAGGATTGTGAAGTATGTATTCCCTGGTATGTATTTTAGATGCTTGATCTTGCGAACTACAGTAGGTATTTAGATAATATTTTACAAACTTGGTGCAATCACTGGCCACTTTTTTTACTCAAGATGGTATCCCTACAGATTCGCGCTTATTGTCTTCCTTTTAGTTCCAACTTCTAGTATTATTCACTTTTTTAATTTAATAATCTTCCTCAATTGACAATTAAATCTGCCTACTATTCTCAACAGCAGAACATTTCCTGGTACCCTTACGTATTTTTGTAAGTGGCACATATAAGGCAATCATTAAATTTTAGTACGTGAATTTTAACTGATTAAAAATGCTCATTAAAATTTTCAAAAGAATGGTTATTGAACAAAGGATACCCTTTTTCGATTACTTCATCATCAGGTTCTACAATTAAATGTCCATTATAATGAATGAATTGGTGTTATGAACAACACTGATGTTGTTTAAATAACATCGAATCAATAACATCGATAGATTACAATTCAATAGCATCAACATAACAATAAACTTAATGTCAGAAAAATTAGGAAAGATGATAATACACACTTATGAATTTATAGTCTCTACCGAAGGTCAGGGCAGTAGTAGTGGGTGGACTTGCCTCTTTTGCACATAAAGCACTGGTTGTTTCATGCGAATTGCGATAGCCTCTGATGTTTTGAGCATGCGGTACTTCGATGTTCTTAGCAATTTATTTGGCATCCGATAGATGATAGGAAGGATTCTTCAATGCTGGCCTTGTGTCTGGTTTGGACTAGATACTCTAATATCGAACTTTTGATGGTTTTTATTACGCTTTTACTTAAGCGAACTGGGAGATATTCTCCAGGACGAAAAAGCAAGTTAATATAACTCGCTAACTGAATTGGTAGATACAGTTGGAAGTGGCTAGTCTAGATACTTCATCTTTCAGTCGAGGAATCACTTTCTGTTATTGGACCACACTGAATAAGCTACAATCCCATGCTACTTTGTTTGTCCCACATAGCGCCCAGTAATAAATCATCGTCTGCAGGATGGCGTTCTGAGCAAAGTTTACAGTTGACAATACATTCATTCATATTAAATTCACAAATGTGATGATTTCTCTGGGGTTAAATGTTTTCTTACTGATTTATTCCAAATGACGGTATGATATTTTAAATATTTATCACTAGAATTGAATTCTTTCTTTTACCTGTATTTAGTGTATATTTAATCAATAAAGATCCACTGATTAGTCTCTATTTATTATATGAGTGAGATTCAAACCCTTAATTTCACTCAAAAAGCTAAAACCCCGATTACTCACAGTAACTGAAAAATGTGAAATAACTTTCAGTGATTGTGAGATAAAGTGTGAAAGTTGAAGAATTAGATTGGGATTAGGACGAAACGTGTGTCATAGTTATAGTCGAACTTTTTGTTTCAATTCCCTTTGTCAGCTCATTACATTTATATCGAAACATTAATATCAGTTTTCAAAAAGTAAGTTAATTGTTGCATTAATAATTATGAGGCTGGACGAAGGGAGGAAAACAGGTCTATCTTCTACTGAGACATTGTTTCGGTGAATGGAAAGGTAATGCAGACAGTGACTACGCATTTTGTTTTCATCACAGAGTTTCTCTGTGTTTGTTCATTAGTCTTGTCTGAGGTGTTTGTATTACTTCAGGCTTTGTCTGTGGTGATATAGTGAATAGATGCTTTGTTTAGATTAAGTAAACTGCTTCTTCATAAGTTACTGAATCCATCCGTCAAAAATTTCACGCAATATAATTACATAGGCCATCAAGTATATCATGTGAGAAGAGTATAAACTATACACTTGGATTCCAGTAAATCTTAAGAAATACTATACACAAATCACATTTGAACTACCACTCATATATATATATATATATATGTTTGTTCAATCTTACCAGTGCATTTTTTCGGATCGTAAAGTGCTATCTGATAACCATCATGACAACTACAGTGTACTTCACCATTGATAGTATGACAGTCGTGTTGACAACCTCCATTATTGATTTGACATGGATTATCAGCTATATGACAGAATAAATTAGTACCCAAAATTTGAAAGAATTTCTTATGAATTGCAATAATATTAAAGCAAAATATATATTTGAAATAATCGCATATGTAGTGGATAACATCGGGTAACTAGGAAAGTTTGCTGTATGATGCACTGTTGCAGATAGTTATGACTGTATGGAATCCATAGAAAAATGCCATGATCTATGACATCTTTACTATATAAGGCATCTCCACTTTTCCTTGGTGTTTTATGGAAAGGATGGAAATTTTCATTGATTATTAGCTGAAGATTAATCGTTATCATGTCTGGTGTTCAATAGTGGATGGATTTCATTTATCTGGCTTTTCTGTTCAAACAGCAGTCCAGAAAATATGAAGTCTTGAATCGTTTTCTTGTTCGAATGTAGGTGACGAAAGAAGAATCGACACCCGTCTATTCAAATTTCACAACAAGTCATTTAGGGTCATTAGTAATAAACCACTATGGTCACAGACTTTTTGAATGCTTCAAGTTATGTATGCCCCAATTTCCTATTCATGTTGACCCTTGATTCCTGTCAAACATAAGTTTTATATTTCAATAGAAATACTGGTCAGTGTAAAACTGACTCAGTATACATAAGAGGAAATAAAGAAAACAATAAATTATCATCTTGGTGATTCATTAATTAAGAAAAGATTTATCATTGGTAAATTATTTTCAAGAATTATTCATTCATTAAATTTTGCAATATGCAAAATAAAATTTTTCAAACAAATGTTTTACTGAGTAGAATTAAATCATTCCAGTCATTAACCTGTGAATTACATTTGTTTTTATGAAATACTTCCCTTATGATTTCAAAACAGGTTTCCGCAAAATCAACGCTGGCTGCAGATTCGTACAAAGATGTCAGTCTTCTGCATCCATTACAGGCTGATCCATGCTTTCTGCACAAAAGTAATTAATAGGCGAGGTGGATAATCACTAAACCAAGTGATCCTCTTGCTTTGTCGCGTATCATATATCCAGATTTGTGCGTCGGTGGTATAGCGGTAAGGACGCTCACCGACCACTCACATGGCCCGGGGTTCAATCCCCGGCTGGCGCACTCCTTTACCTCACTAAGCCAGGAATAAAGCTGGCGAAGAGGAAAGGTTAGGTATGAGGCTAGCAACCTCATCCTGTAAAAATAAACACCACTGCTACAGAAACTTCAAGCCTCTGGCTTGAAGCCCTATGTATGTGGAGGAATAAAACATATATATATATATATATATCCAGATTACTCAATAACGGGAAAGAAAGAAATTTGATCACTGGATAACTAAGAGTCAGTAGTGTATCAGTTAGCTTATTGGTTTACTGCAAATGAAGAGATGAAATCAACAAAACTCACGTAAGCATCGCTTCTTATTTTCAGCTAAATGATAACCAGGTCTGCATGAACACATGTATCTGTAACCAGGCAAACTTGTGCAAATATGGTCGCAGTCACCGTTAGGGGGATGTTCACATGGATTAAAAACTGAAAGTAGAAAAAAAGTTAAATAATTATTGACAAAAGTAGCGAAATAAATAGTTGAATACCAACACAATGAAAAATAACAATAATTTACTCAGATATTGAATTTATGTATAAATGACTATCGAGAAACTGGCTAAAGACCTGATTTCATGCTCTTCAGGTGATTTAGTTGTAAATCACAGTGGATTAGGGATTAATACGTAAAGTTAAACGAAAAAGATGACGGGATAGTGTGGGATTCCAAAAACTAAGGAATACTCAAAATGAGAAATTTCAGCACATCTCCTTATTAAATAGTACAATTTATTCTGTTGAACTTTGTTTAACTAAGAGTTAACTGATATCAACTGAGTCCATTTAAGGATAAATAAACACACTTTCTCTTATCTTTCGACTTTTATTCACTAAACAAAAGTAATCTGTAACTTCTGTTTTCATTCTTCAGTCACTTTAATTTGGCTTATAATAAATTACGTATTAGTAAGCACAATAACTGGATGTCATTTAACCTTCTTTTCCAGTTATCAATCAGTATCGGCGAAAATCTAGATGGATAAGTGAACGATAATCAAAAAGAACGGTTTCTGGACTGACCATTGATTATCAGTCACTTAGTGAGATGTGAACGTTAATAACTGTAGAAACAGACACATGTTTCTCACAAAAAATATGTTGTATTCACCCATTGTAGCTCAGTAACCGGTTTGATGCAACAGATTACAACGCACGAAAAAAAAAATTAAATCAAGGTTCAACTTGATTGCGATTCCTTTTGTGCTTTTCACCATTGTTGCCGAAGATGTACTAGTTTATTAAAGAATTTATTAGCTAATTTTCACAACTGGTTATGCTAAACTATCAGAAATTATCTTGGTTTTCCAATGACGTAACAACTTATAACTCTTCTTAGTTCTGACGTTCAGTAATAAGGGTTTTTGAATCTACTTCAGGTAAAAGTAAATATGCAACAGACATTATTTACAAAATATTTTGCTTAAAATAGACTTTTTTTTAGAAGAAACAGTGTCTCTTATTAAGTTGGTGAAGTATTAAAATGATGAATTTTGAGTTTCTTGATGTGAATATAAACATCGAATGAGTTACACAAGCATTTAGTGGGGGACAAGGCTGTCGTCCTCATTGTTATAGCTAACAACTTTGAGGAAGTTGTATTCCTAATACTTTGTTTCTGGGAGTGGACTAATCCACCCCTCTGTCTCGACTGACAACTCAGCATGCCTACTAATCTAGTCCGGGGTATTTTTCCCACTGCTAGCCACTAGGTGGGTTCCGAGTTCGAGTCTCGCTCCACTGGGTAACTTGAAAGTATTATCAGTCCCCACATGATTAGAGTGATACATGGAAAATCTGCTCTAGGTAGCTGATCTTGAGCAAACATTAGCACTAGTGTAGGCATACTTATATAGGTGAGATCATATTTTACAGAGAGAATTAACTGATTAAAACAGTGCTTTATAAGCTGTACAAAGCCTGCCTAATAATTTTTCATCAATATAACAGTTTATTAAAAACTATTTTAAGTTTCATCATTAGACTATTTATGATGTATTCATCGAAGGTATATAAAAACAAGCACTTGATTCGGAATAAATATAATTACCATATGATGTTTTTTCTAGATAAATTTCTAACCATAACTGGTAGTTACTGAGAGATTACTGTTCAGGTAAACGGCATTTTAAAGAATTATCAACATTATTTTCAAATTTCCTTTGGGAATATGAAAATAGTAATTGTTTTGCAAACTGAAAATAGGCTTTCATTTTTTCTTCAATATCTATTTAGTTTATCTGAATAAAAATATAAGGTCGAATAAATGCATTCATTGGCTGTAATTACCTAACAGGTTGCGGGATGAGAGGAGGATGTAGACTGAACTAGTGAAAAATTGTCAGAGACATGATGAATATTAAATTTCCTATCTAGGTATTACAGAGTTAAATTATATGCTGTGTTAGATAAAAATGCTTTCAGCATTTATCTGAGCCAGTTTATTCATTTACCACCCAAAAACTTGATGGTAGTAGCAGTTGTTCTTTCTGTGCTATGAGATGCAAATCTTATGGCTTAAGGGTATTTCATTACCATATAACTATATATATATGCATATATAAAGAGAGAGGACGAAGTAGGAGGTAATGAATTAAGGTTGAATGAAAACTGAGATCGGTATGGAATTCAAACCGGCGGCTGTGGGGCCTGTGGGCACTAGTGTTACAGGCACATTATCCCACCAGCTACACATGTAATGAAAATGACATCCTATCTTCGCTGGCGTTACAATACAAGAGATGTCTTCAGATAACAGATTTTGACGACAGCTGTTGCGCCAGTAACAATCTGTATATATAGTTAATGTACTCGCTCTTCAGTTTGTGAGTTACCTTTGTGGTCGTCCTGTCTAATATTAACAGTTATCTATTAATTCCTATAGATGGACATAACTGTCAGAACGAATTCCACAAAAACCCTATGTAACTTTAAAAAGTAATATTACTAACTGATAATCTAGAGACGAAAAGTAGAAGAAACTGTAGTGCTGGTGTAGGTGTATGGGAGAAAACTTATCAATACTCAGTGAATCACGGAGTGAACTTTATCTGTAATTCTCCTTAAATTTATGACCATCTTGTCTTCTATTGCATTTTTTTCATCAGCGTGTCACTCTAGAGTAATAATTCAGCACCCTTTCAGCTTGCCTATACAGGAAGTTAAAACTGCTTCCACCATCTTTATTTCATTTTAAGTTATTATGATTGATAGTGTTCTACATGTTACTAAGTGAATCAAAGATGACGCGGTAATCGTGTCCGAATTCTAATTTACGTGTAGTTTAATGTATTTAGATAGACTGGCATCACACTGGATAGAGGCAAGTGCTATTTATCTCTTGTGTAAACCTGCATCTTATTGGGAAGGCTAGAAATAAAATAACTGGTTTAGAATTCAGAAAACACCGTAATTCACTTAAATTCATAACTATTTGGTTTCGAGGCTAAAATGAAGCCCAACAACGAAGTCATGTGGAAATACCATAAAGATGGGAAATACACTGTCCATCCAGATGAATATATATATATATATATATAGCCCCGTAATATATTCAGAATAAGAGTAATTAGACTAAACAACTGTTTTCAATGGATTCTCCTTCAGGCTCTGCTATTATAAGTTCATTGACTTTCGGAACGAATAGCCAGTGAAGGCAAATTAGAAGTATATCAGAAAGTGTATTGGGGTACAAGTATAAGCACACTACTGGCTACACTCACCCTTTGAAACCTACAGTTCTTGTCAGTGGTAGCTACAAAGCTACCACTGAATTACTCTATTTCCTTTAATTTCATATTCTTATAGACTAAGCATTACACTATATATAGACTTAAATGATAATTAAAGCTTATTAACTATTATTCCATATCGCACTTGTATCATAATACACTTTCTGACATAATTCTAATTTACTTCTACTGGCTATTAATGCTGAAATTAATGGATTCATAATTGCAGATCGTGAAGAGGGAATTTTTAAAAGCAGGGATTCTTTTTAATCGTCCTTGTTCTGAATATTCGGAGACAGTCAGCCAATGTAACAGTTGTAGGCATTCAAACTTAACGGTTTATTTATTTTTAATGAGAGTATGTGTGCTATTCTGGGCAATAGTTATGCATTCAGCACGGTGAAATTCTATCCACATTAGATAAATTACAGTTGCAACCAAGTAAAATGTGATCAACTACTTCATAATTTATTGTCATTTAGTTAGATGAAACCTGAGACCTTTTAAAATCTAATATCTCTCTATTTTTAAACTCTTTTGAATATCTACCTACTTTTCTTATTTCTGAAATATTGACCGAATTTACTCGTAGACACACAACTGAATTATAACTGAATAACTATGTTTACTAAACACTTTTGCAACACTGATGTTCTCTCCTCTTCAGGTTCAGTCAGATCATGTGAAAATTCTTCGTCACTTTAGGATATTAAAATAATTATTTCAGACTGTAAACAGTTGACGAGAGCCGACAACATAGTGACATTTAATTCTTCATTTTACTATTATTCTTGTTCCAATCAGGTTTAAAGAGGTGAGAAAATTTATGAAAACCGGAAAATAATTTCTATGTTCAGATAAGATTTGGTAAACACTGTGAGTAATAAATATTGACTGTTGTTCTCTTACAAAGGAACTTATCTCGAAGTGATGTGCAGCCACAGATTTGATGTTACAAATGTAATATTGCTCTCTCCTAAGTATGGTGCACTAAGTCTCATATTCGGCTGGTTTTTTAACTGCTTAGCGTTATATTAATGTTTGCCATAATTTCGTACTGTTCATTTGCTTGTGTTCATATTACTAAAAGTTAATATGATGTAATAACAGTATTCCAATTTTAGCATATACATTTGATTACCCTAGTTTCAGACTTCTCAGTAGTTAGCACTTATTATCAGTTGAGTAGTCCTCCAGGGGATAGATCTCACATTCGTTAGATTTTTAAAAAAATAAGTCACTAGTTAGGCACTGAGTCAATAAAATGTCAATAATTTCCAATTTGTACTACATTTTTAGAAAGCATTATTGTTATCAAATCGTATCTGTAACTGCCCTCATATCTGCGTTGGTGAATCCATTGAGTCATAATTCCCTCAGAGGACTTTTGAGTAGGAATTCTTGAATTCAACATATTTGGCGATAAAATCAAACAGCATGAATTTACGGAAACGATAATTTAGAAAATGAATTCTTATGTTAACTAATAGAAATGATATTTCTCATAAGTGTAAAATAAACTACGAAAATAACATTTGATTTTATACCTGAATGACAAAATTGTGTCAACATTTTGTCAACTGCTAGTCTAAAGCAGAAGTTTACTTGTAGTCTATTGAACTTGACTTATATTCACACTATTTTAGTCTTAGTGTTGATTAGTTTTACACAGGATTTAATAAAGTGTTTTCATAATTCAAAAGTGGATGTTGTAACGCTTTATTGATATCAGATTATTGAAATTAACCTAGGTTTGCATTAACGTTCATGGAAAATGAACAACACCCCCAAGATCTTTACAGATTTTGTGTAGTGGAAACTTTATGTGTAAATATTCATAAATTAGCAGTGTTCCATGTATCTTAGGGAGAGCAAGGACTGGGAAATATGAATTAGATGCTCATTTATGGGTCTTTCGAAATGTCCGACGTCGAAACTATAACTATTTTATCATCTTTTTTTCCTTTATACAGCACTACTCTGTGATTGATTCAAGTGTACACTGCCTTAATTTTGAAAGTATTGAATAGTAATCGGCGATACATTCATTTACGGGATGTGCAATTTATTTTTTTTAAATGTTTATCAAGCTTATTGAAAGATGAATAATTTGCCGAAGTGTAGCGTAGATAATACGAAGGTAGAATGCTCGCCAACCATGCATGTGGTTTGAGGTTGGATCCCTAGTCACTACACTCCTAAACCTCGCTGAGCCGGTCGTAAGACTGGTAAAGAGGGAAGGTTCGCTGCGAGGCTAACAACACCACTGCTACCGGAACTTCAAAGCTAGCGCCTGAATCCCTGTGTTCCACAAAAAATGGAGAGGAATAAAACAAATTCTTAAAATAAACGTTTCATTGAAGTTGAAATAAATAAACCAAAATGGGATAGTGCTTGATAACTTCAAATGTACAGTGCCACAGTGTTGAGGTCTATGACTGTGAATAAAGTTATACATAAAGTAGTACTGACAAAACCGCTCTGGATTCAAAAGTCTTATCAGATAATGGAGACCTATACTGTCTAGAACAGTTTGCAAAAAATATACAGCAGAAAAACTAGGGCTTAATACTTTGATAATGCAAGTGAATGGAGTGTGATACTTTCACTTAAATTAATCTGGATGTTTTGCTGCTACTTTGTAGGTAAATTTTTAAGTTCCACTTGGACTTATTGGTAGGTATCTTGGCTAATACATAGCCTATTATTTCCCTTGTTTTTGTTTAGTAGAAACTTACGTGGCAATGGATAAAAGCGTACGCGTGTTGTATCAGCTGGATTTACCTGTATACCAGTAAGTAGCGAGATTCCCGCTGAGACCAGAAGCCAACAGCTTTAAAAGTCCAAAGAGAAAATTGTAATTCAAAAGCTCTCAGAAACATGTACTGATGAAAGATTTAGGTACCTCTTGTGAACTGTCTTCATAATAATTTTATGGTGCGTTGCAAATAACCTGTTGAAGAACACAGGTTTCTGGAGCACAGTGGTTCAACTGGTGAGTTCCATAAATAAATGATAACAAACTACGCCTGCTGCATTTCTTTTCTGCGTCTTTCTAGTTTTTGCAACCTTTGTAACCCCTTCTATGTTCAAGACATTTGAAGAAGACGTCGTAATATATGCTACTATTTACACATCCTAGACATTAATGCATACCTCAATAATACAGAATTACTTGGAAAGTAAATTATGGTGTGAAAGGTTACAAAATATCAACATCTTTCTCTACAATCAGTTGAGTTCATGTCTAGATCTTTTAACAATTTATTCCGATACATTTCGTAAAACATATTTATACAGAAAACTAAGCTTAAAACTTACATGGAATGCAAGAAATTTTATCTGGTGCAAGAACCATATCTGAAGGACATGTACATCGGAAACCCCCAGGTAGATTTTCACAAAAGTACATACAACCTCCGCGATCATGCTTACACTCGTCAATATCTGAAAAGTATCAATGAAATTTAGTAAGTCACACTAAATATTATTTCTGATTGGGAGACCTATCATTCACGTTTCGAGTTCAAACATAAATTTAGTAGACAATAAAACATGATAAGATATCTTTGATCTTCGTAATAAAATGTAGTTATAATCAGCTCAACGGAAACGCGGCATACGGTTGGGACATATATTTCACTTCAAGTTTCTTTAGTTACTTTAAAAACGTTTTGCGATAGATAAATTATGATCTTTTGGAGAAGGGGAGTTAAAACGGGTTCTTGCCCTGTTGATAGTTTAGTTGGATGTATCTGCAGTACCGTTCAGTTTTAACCAAGAAGTAAATAAAAGTCATATGTTTCACTTACCTAGACATCTTCTTTTGTCTGGAGCTAGGAAATAACCCGGTGGACATCTACAGTTACCCGAACCGGGTAATTGACTGCAATCATTTTGACAATAGTTATTAGATTCATTGCACTCTCCAGTTACTAAAATATTAATAAAAGTAATTTGAACATTTCGTAAGGTTTACTTTACCCTTTTATTCAGAAACCATTAGTTTAAAATTCACAAAGGCATTTTTCTGATTATGGTAAGCACATAAAAGTATATCGGTTTCGCACTCATATGGACTACTGTTCAACTTCACGGAGCAGATAATATGATAAAAAGTTTCAGTAACTGGAAACCATTGCACTTTGATATGATCTCCAACAGAGAATGGCTATTTGTTTTCCAAAACTGATATTTACATGAACTATTCTGATTCTGGGTTTATGAAGTTTGTTCAGCTGTTATTTATCTGGTGGTATCCTGAATAATGAGTTCATTATGTTTACCTTGGCTTACATGGCTTAACGGTCATGCATCGTACTAAGTAGCATTTGTCCCGCTAATACATAAGCCTAGCATGAATAATCTCAACCAAACAGCATTATCCATTGTTCTACCTTAGGAAGACTGAATGCTACAATGAACCAGTTAGTTAACTCCAGTAAAAAGAATAACGAAGATGCATAGAACAAATAACGTCATTTGATCTAAGAATTAGAATAATGTGATAGTGGGTTTTATCCTCGGTTTTCATAAAATTAGTGCATTTTTACCTATTCTTAAAAATTCATATAATGCTTAACTCAAATCAAAATAATTTTTGGAATAATATTTGATTTAAAAGCTATATTGTCTGCTACAGGTTCATAGGTTGAAATGCCACTGCATCTATAAAGATTCAGACAAGTAAATATTATTTATGATCACTGATATGCTGTTATATCCCATTGACCAAATATCAAGCTGTGGAAGAGCGATACAAAGTAACATAAAATTTAGTCCAAGTGCTCCTTTTTATCGGTGGGATTTTAAAGTTTAACACTAAAATTTAACCTAGATATTTTAATCAGCTACTGACCGCACAACATGAAAATAGAATTGTTTGATATGCCTTAACTTAAACTAGTAGTCATCTAACAAACTTTGTCATATCATCCTAGGCTAATTTGCGTCAAAATACAATTCATGATTTGATTATCCCTCTACCTCTTAATCAGGTTCAGTTTAGAACTGGATGTAAGAACCTGTGTTAGTGGTTAGCATTAGGACATTCACAGGACTGTTACATATTACTCATTCCTTATATGGAAGCTACGAAAAACAGTGACGAAGTGAAACTGTCACCTATTTACCATCTGGGTTTAATCAACACATTTTGTGTGATACCAGAGTAACCTCCTATAAGCCGCTAGTTCACATTCTGCGCCAACAAACTTTTTTACTCTTGATTCATTTATCATTTGTTTACAATACCGTCGTCAAATTTAATAGCTCGTTTCGGCTTAAGTAATTATCAGCAATTTTACGGCTGTTTTCAAATTTTTGTGAAAATCTTCCTCCAGAAACCAATTATCATTTCACATATGATTTGTTTAATTGGATAATAGTCATCAATTACAATTCAGCTGATTTATAGAATCAGATATGTAACTGGTGATTATAGCTCATTTGAAAATTTGTTTACCAAGTTGATTTAATTAAAGTACACCCGTTGTTTGTTAAATACTGGTAATTTAATAATCACCAAGGGATTAGCAAAAATGTTTACAAAAAATGGTTAATGTTAGGGGTATGATTGAGAGAGCGAAGTTATCTGCACAAGTTATTGCAAATAATAAGTGACATGAATATATACACCTGCATACATGGATAGTGATAAATTAATATAAGGAAAAGTTCCAATAAAATCTACTTGAAGTTGGCTATATCATCATGCACTTCATTCTTCTCCAGCTCTTAACTTTGTCTGCTTACTTGACATATGTCAGACAAAAGCAGTTTGAATATAATGATTTCATTCTAGTTGCCACACCTCTAGGTAGGAACAATCTTGCCAATATGTCTGACATCGTCTGACAGTTAGTTACTGGCACTGTAAACTGAAAAACTACTTAGGCTGGTCTATGTGCACACTTTTTGAAAATTCGTCTTTTTGTTCGTATATGTTGTGGAAGCCTTGTTTTGTTCAAATGTCTTGACAACTGAAGTATTATAGTATACTGTGATACTAGACGAATATAATAAATTTTGTATAACATCATCACAGTATTCAAAAGAAATGAAAACATTGTAACTCTCCTTTTCAGGCAAAATATTCTACCTTAGAAAAAGGACTATTCGAGATGCTTCTAATACCATTTCACCCGTATTTTTGAAATGATGAGTACCGATACGCGTATATCTTATATATCTCTGAACAGACGTTACAGCAGTCATAATAAAATATTTGTCCTCTGCTATTCTCCACTGGTTACAATCATGACTTCACATACTTCATCTGATGTATCAAAGAACTGAAGGAAGAAGTAATTAAGTGAATACGGCAAAACAATCTAGACCTTTTTTTTTAAATTTTTAATGTGTCTTGGTTTTAAGTGATTGCTTCTCATTCCATCTATAATTTTAATATTTTGTTGAAATCTTATCAACTAATATATCACTGCTTGATCAGTATTGTTTTTAATACTGTTTAACAAAGTATACTTCAGTCTGGAGCAGTTAATGGGATGATGATGAAGATGACAGGAGTTAGGGGACAGCCAGCTACTTTCAGACGTTGTCATTGTATTTTGGAAGATGATTTTAGACTTGAAAGCAGCAGATGTTCATTACTTATTAAATACTAGTGCTGTTGTATATGAACTTCGTTTTTGAGCAGACTACTTTTGGGTTGAGGATTTACGTTTCACCAAAGTGTTTAAGAAACTTGATTACAGTTTAATGAATGTCACTCTCTGTTATTTTGGCAAACTTACCCTTCCTGATGGATACTGATAAAGCTTAAATGTAGTTCTAAATAAATAAAGACTTCACTCTATCAGAAAATACTGTAAACACGTTTATTCCGAATTTTTAAAAATTTCCAATCTACTAACTAGGTTGATTTAATTTATCAGGAAGTAAATGAACGAATATGACTGTCAAGGGAAAACTGTGAACTGAAAGAAACATTATGGGGAATAGTCTTGGAAATAGTTACCAACTAGGGTAAGAAAAGTATTTTTACAGAACCTGTATACACGCATCAAGATACCCTGTAAAATAAACAAACAAACGCTCATTTAATTTATTAGACAAAGCTTACTCAATTGACAACGTGAACCGGTAAAACCTTTTGGACATTTGCAGTATACCATGCTGGAATTTTCATAACATAATCCACCATTTTGACATACATCTGATTCTTTCAAAAAAGAGCTACAATTGGAAACTAAACAGTTAAACGTAAATATAAAGTGCAGTTTAGTAAGTCATTTATTAGTGTGCTGGAAAACCGATTACATTTCTTTTTCTGTTAGTGGGCTTGAAGTCAAATACTTGTGACTTATAAATTCATTATATTTCGCTTCATCAGCAAAAAACATTCATCCGTTTAACATAAATTCAGTCGAAACTAAGACGATTATGAATTATACAGTTTGCACTGTTGAGTGATATTATTAGTTGCGATCTGTTTTCGTCGACCGATAGTGCTTACTAGACCGACTCAAGTGGCACATATACCGCATATCCGTCTTACGTTTTCAAGACAAATTCATTAACAGTGTAACTTCAAGCCTTCAGAATGGTCCACAGAAACTCTTAAGCCCACGCGTTTGTCAATTCAGCTGATAAATGACGCTAATTGTAAGGTATTCAATTTAAAATTAAACATTTTTTGTGTACACGTGCATCAGGAAGTTCTTCTCAACCTGAATCAACTCAAAGCTACCAGTAAGAAAACCTTTCATTGTGCCACACACTTGAAATAATCTGTCTGTTTTAAATAGGGTTGAAATCAAGTTTCTGTTACCTGTTCAGTATTGGATATATTTGTCAGCATTCTAACTTAAACCGTTTTGATTATTGAAAAAAGTGGAAATTTACGCACTGCTACAGCAAATAGCTAATACTGATATTTCTTTGGTTTGCATGCATAGGAAAATCACATATCTCTGAGTAATACCCTGTGCAAGACAGAGTGTGCTACTGACACCTCTTGAGAAGAACCAATTAAGACTAGACAGCGACGAAGTGGCGCTGTGGTCTACTTCAGAACACTCAAGGAATTCGTGCCTACATTTCCAAGCATTATTAAGCTTATGGCAGTCGAATTACGCTAGCATTCGTTACTAGTCCAAAGTTACGTTAGAAATGCTATAAATTCTTGAGTCGGCACCACTGGACATTCTGAAAGTGGAGCGAAGCAGAAATCCACAGTCCATTTGTTCTTCAATGACTTTGTATTTTTTGTCTCTTCCTGAGTGAATTTGAATCTGAACCAAATGATTTTCTGAGAACCCTAATCTAAACATCTAAAATCAAAAAAGGTTATGCTTTGCTTTAAACTAATACATGTCCACCTATTAAACTATCAAAAAAGATAACCAACATTTTAAAGTTATATATAAAATAAGGAGTAAAATTCCTCTGGATAAATTTTGGATGCAGACTTGTAGGGAAGCGGGCTTTTGTATAGCCCCTAGTTGGTGGAAATAAAGCGAATATAGAGTGGCAAAAGTTCTGCTGAACTTTTATGTACAACATTCAGCATAGATTATACAGCCTCAAAACACCACTGTACCAATACACTAGAGACCCATATGAAAATGAGTTGAGGTAGGAGTATTTGTAAGGATATTTTTCGTTACTATTTGTCTTTACTATTCAACTGGATTTTAGTCAATAAGGCATGTCTCTTATGATTCCAAAGAGATAAAATCAGAGTCATACATTTAAAACAGATACAAAACATTGAATTATGACCTGGTTGATTCCTTCCCAATTAACTGGAATGACTGACATTTAAGGGCTCGTTTTATTTAATGATAAGTGTTTTGTATAGTATAAATATTTTTTCTAAATTACTGAGTATTGTAACAGTTATTCTAAGCAGATTGATTAAAGTGATTGTAATTTTAAAGTAGTCTGCACCATGTTTCATTTCACTGGTAATTACAGGCTACCTATAGGAGCGCATTGGATTCACGCAGTATTTTTTAACAAGCAGAACACATCATTGTTAGCTCAATAAAATCCCGTCTAATGCACACAGATAGTCCTATGCTAATACACTTGATTACTATTTTAACCGGCAAAGAGATCCGTACCGTTACCAAGTGAGATAAAGCTTCATGTGAACTGAGAAAAATAACTAGTCTAATGGCGTGAAAGTGAGCGGTGTTTTCAGAAAGGGTTTTTTTATTCTACAGAGATAAAATGAGAAAAAATTAGACATACCGCGCTAATTATTATATATATATATATATGAGTACTTTTCAACCACCACTAGTATATGACATTTATCAAATAACTTGTTACTTAAAAGGAATCTATTTTCATTCCAAATCAGTGATGCTCAAATCAATTTGACTTTATAAGTATCAAAAATTGTTTTTCATTCTTATCACCTCTTCAATGCTCTGAAAGTTTAGCTATTTTGTAAAAGTATGTAACTCAGAGTCGAACAAATTATGCTCATCCTGTTTTCCTGTACCTTAACAATGATTATAACCATCATCACCACCATCTCAGTTATAACTACCACGCACTAAAGATCAGCATGCCAAAAAATCGCTTTAACTTATTTAACGAAATCATTATCATATATATGCGTATATCCCAATTAGACTAAATATCCCTTCGTATTTGTCATGCGAAATCAGTAAGCATATTTACATCTGTGCATATCTTTATATACGTTATATATTCAGACACCATCAATCCAAGCACGTTTCGGTGGACGTGCAGATAAACACTTGAGATGTTTTATCTCCCCCTTCTTAAAGTTTGCATAGGCAAATGGATATATCCTAAAGGAAGTGAGGGAGGAAAAAAATTAAGTAGTAGACGAAAATAGAAATTTTTATATCTTAACGAATTTACTGTCGCTAAAGTTATTGCGATGATTCCCAGTACAAGTGAAGAGGAAAATGCCAAAGAAGAAGCAAGAAGAACGACCAAGGGAAAAGTAGACAACATAAATTAAATTTACGTGAATAAAGTAGAAAATGTATAAATTAGGCAACAGTGTGCATTTGTTCGGTGTCTCTCTCTGTTTCTCCTCTTTTTCATACAGTGTCCCACTGAGTATTTTTATAACTTTCTTTGCCTCAAGCACACAAACAAACATCTATTGTTGTGGAATTTATTTAATTTTGTGAAAGCAGTAAGTGTGGAGTAAGGAGAAGAAAGCTGAGTGAGGAACTTAACTAGGGTAATTTTAAATTGAATGTAATTTGAGTTGATGTGGTATATTTTTCAGATTTTTAATCCATTTTGTCAAGTCAGTGTATTTATGTGGCTTCTTCATAAGTAAATCTGACCAAGTAAACAAAGTTATTCAATGGAGAACTGTTTAGTACACGCTTCTAACAAAAAAGCAAAGAAACTATTGTTAAATTATCCACTGGTTGATGATATAATTATCTGGGGTATAGATAATTATGCACAGATCTCAAGTACTTAAAAGCAGATATTTTGGAAAGCTTACATGATTGCATTAACTTGTTGGAATGCCTATGTGAAAGATGAGTTCATTTCATAAAACACCTAAATAACAAAAACTATCAACCAGACTGTGTTTCGAATACAATTTATTGCTCATAAGCATTATGAAAATAACTGTTCATTTTTCTGGTCCAACCTAACTACTCCGACTTTCTAGTGTTTTACGACTTTGGTAGTTGCAGCGTTGTAGCTGTTATGCGACTTATGAGAACACACTGATTCTAAAGGATTACACAAAAGTGCACCTACCTATTTTGTAAAGAAATTATTGATGTGGTGCACTCTGATGGCCAGTTTATTTTCAGTAATAAAATATGTAGACAAAAGAATGTTATACTTCTGAGATCGTGAGAAAGTCCTCTGATTTCACACTATTTTATATTGGAGTTTGAGTACAAACATTTGAAAAAGACCAACTGTCTCAAATTTAAAAAAGATATGTAGATGACACTCATATTATCTAGGGTCACGGACAAATTTCATCAGAAGTCAACTTGCAAATAAGGCAACAATCTAGGAAGATGAAATTCAAAAATATCATTTTTAGGGTTACAACTAACAAAACAGTAAAAAACAAATCTGTTTCTTATCCTTTATCCTTTAATCTGCAGTCTACTGATGGCTACTGATGGACTAAGTACTCTTGAAAGGAACCACTACGAACAGTTGGTTATAAAATATGTAAAAGAGCAGACGTCCAGAGAAGAAACTCTTTTCGGTGAATTCATTCACATAGCTGTACAATCGCATTTATGTATAATTATTTGTGTGTGTACATGAGGTTTGTCAAGTTTAGATAATTAATCAGGTAATAAAAGAATGATCTAATATAGAAACAAGGTTAATCAGACAGCGACTAAAGTAAGATTGAGTTAGAAAGTTAGATGACGTAATATAATTGACTAAAATGTTTCAACTTGGGTCAGGGTAGCAACAGAGGTAATTACAGGTAGAGACTAAGTAGAGGTGGGGTAGATAATAGTGCCATTTAAATTACAACTGAATTGAGCAATTAAGTTGGGTGACGTAACATAAATGACTAGAAATTGAGCGTTGGTCAAGTCAGTAACAGTGGTAGTGAGGTGTAGAAATTAAATTGGGTGGGGGTAGGGAACAAAAAGTTGAAAATGCAAAATATTACAGTTGAGAAGACAAAATAATACTAATGAAGACACAGAAAAAAAGATTAGATAGAATTTATTTATCGGGTAATAAGATAGATTAAGTCCATTGCAAGTATAGTGATTGAACAAACTTCTTCTGTATGCAGAGTTCAGGGCTTAACAAGTGAATCTCCATTGCTTCTGCAGTTTGAAGAAGTATGTTTTGTACACCTTTAGGAAGACTACTTCTTACTCTGTAGACTACTTTGAAGTTTGTTTGGGGTGCAGCTTGGTGTCCGGATTCTATCAGATGTTCTAAGATGGAGTTGCGGGGACATCGTTTTTCTCCTTTGTAAATAATATTTAGCTAGGAGCAAAAAAGATTGAATGCGCTTCTGACATCCTAAATGCTACATTTCCTGAATATACAACTTAGTAGAGACTAACAGGTATTTTTTTATTTTTTATGGTTACAGCTTGATTCCACACCGTATTTTTGGTACAAGTGTGGAATTTTCAGCGTGGATATCGGTAGCCCAAAATTCGCAGGCCAACCATAGATATCAGGTGTGCGTCGTCGAGGGCTCGAACCCCGGACCATGTGCATGGTCGGCGAGAGTCCTAACCAATGTGCCACTGACGCACAGGAATTTTGAGAAATCAATTAACACATTTATTCAGCTAAACTACAACT